AGCATACTGCTCCGCGCTGAGAACGTAAAGAGCAGTGCTACACCCTTTTTTCATTTGTGCCTCTCGGGTGAACAACAGTCGCTGAACGACAAGAAGGAAACCGACCCGGGAAACTTGGGCAAAAGCCTCGATCCTGTGTATCAGTCCGTGAATCCCTGAACCTAAACGGAAGAGTAGAGCAGAATTATTCATCGGTCACGGATTAACTTGTTGATACACAGGATTGAGGCCTTTGGTCAAGATTCCCGTGTCAGGTTTGTTCTTGTCGTCCGGCGGCTTCCAATAACCTGAAAATCGCAGGAGAAAAGTGCTGAATGTTCGTTCTTCAAATTCTCAGCGCGAATAGCGAGTTCGCCAGCTCAAGGACCCTTTGAAGGCATCTGAAAGTGATTTCAACTGGTAGGTCGGGCGCATCTGAAAGTGATTTCAACTGGTTCCTAGGTCGGGCGTGGACAGCTGTCGGAGGGAGGCATCTCCACACACCAGCTAGTAAAAATGAAAGGCTGTCGTCTAATAAAGTGTGCGCTGTAATCTGGAAAATCTTACCATGTCCCTGCGGTGAAAACTCAGTGGGCCTAATTAAGTGGTAAGTTCTCTTGGAGACGAGGATAGCCTTGGGGAAATAGTTCAATTGCCTGAAGGCGCGTACCATAACCAACAAATTTGAAGCCTGCAACCATCTTCATCACAGCTATTTGGGCAGGCTCGTTGAAGGTTTTATCATTACTACGCCCTGAGTAGACAATTTGGCCGGCAACTTAAAGTGATCTGACGTAGACTCCATATAATATCTGGAAGCTCATGCGAATAATACGGGAGAAGGTACGCCTGATCATCGGAAGAACAACGAATGCCTGTTGTGCCTATTTTTCATGGTGGAGTGCGAAGGGCGTGCCTGTAGGGAAGCAGACTACTAAATCCTTTTGGGGTTTCCTCCCGCCCGTTGTCACCATGCCCGACTAAGTTGTTTCCCGAGTCTCCAGAAAACAAAACTTCGACCAGCTTTTCGTCATTCAGAGTATTGTGTCACTTTAGTGGTCAGCTACTTATGGCGTTCATACCCGTTTAATGTAAACTGTCTCTGTAATCCATAATAGTGCATAAACTTGGCAAAACTTGCACACAGACACGCGAAGGTCTGGGGATGTCCTTGACAGCACAGTGTGTGTCCCGAAGAGGTACAACGGAGACAAATTTGCAGCCGTCAGACGACTTCTGGAATACGTGAATCAAATTTTCTCCTCAAGGCGCAAGGAGGATATGACCTTCACTAGGCCTGTCCTGAGAGCTCCTGTGAAGATAGCTGCAGGATTCAAATCTGTTGGTTATGTGAAGCACTGCTTAGAATTGAAATCTCTCCCTCAGGTTATCCTCGCCCCCGAGGAAACTTTCCACTTTTGTAGGCCTTGTTTGAGCAATGTTTGCCCCATAGGCTTTCACGTGGACCCCAGTAACACGTCGTGTACATGCCGAAAAGATTTTCCAGACTATAGCGCGCTTCATTAGACAATAGTTTTTCTCATTTTTTGTAGTTGGTGTGTGGAGTGACCTTCCGGCAGTCATCCATGCCCAATCTAGGACCCAGTTGAAGCACTTTTGGATGTTCTTTTACGGGGGTCTTTGCGCTGGTGAGTTAACTGTCCAGCACCGAGAACTTAAAGAACAGTGCTTCACAATCTTTCGCTTGTGATTTTCAGCTTACTGAAAGTCGCTGGAATTTTGATCGAAAACCTCGCCCATGTGTAATAGTCCGTGAAATGGGCGAATCTTTTCGTCACCGAGTCGAGTTTCGCATTTGGCGATGCGGGACCTAGAGGCATATAGGTATTTGTGTTTCTGATACACATTTAAGCGTCTGCATTTTTTTCGGAATGATCCTCATATACTCAGGGACCCAAGTAAATATTATATATTCGTTAGATGGAAACACGTCGGTTTGGTTCCCGAACATTCGTTGGACAGCACTCGAATATGCAAAGTATTTTGCCGTGAAATGCCTAAGGAATGACCGAAGCTTCGGTGGACGTCATTGTTACATACCAATTAATAAGATAGGCTAGCCGGGGAAAGCAACAGTCAGTGGAACAATGAGTGAGAAGACGGCTGATTTATTCACTGGCAAGTAAAGCCGTCCTAATATTTCCCTTTTCAAAGTGTGTGTAGGTGTTAAGATGTGGAATCACTTACATTGGTTGAAATGCTTTTGGGTTACGGCTGGACCACCGTCTTGGTGTGCAGATGGTTTCGACTGGGGATTTGTCTGTTTGGGTAGGAGGCACTTGTGCGAATGGTAACCCAAAAGTATCCCACAACATGTTCCGAGGAATCGAATCATCCGGTGTAGCCGGTGCAACGTCTCCAGGGCGAAGTTGGTTCGCGTAACAGACCCGTTTGACAGGCTGTACGTCGACTTCGTATATGACGTTACTTATGCGGTATTTGATGTGACGACGCATCCAATTGTCTCTTCCCCCTGCGTTAGTCCTTACCCAAAACCGAATAACCGGGCTTATAGGTGATATGAACGACAGGTGAACTGTCGTTCCACTTGTGTTCTCTTTTTTCGTAGGTGTGCGAGAGATAGGCAACCACATCTGTAGGTAAACGGGTTTCGTTCGCTTCCGCGAGTGAGCTGTTTTTTGGCACGTTTGGGTTAGGAGTCGCACGTTAGCTTAACATTTAAAGTTTTGGAGTGCTCGTTTGAGAGTGTGGACAAAGCGTTCGACTTGGCCGTTAGATTGAGGATGGAATGTTTTAGGATGGTCAGGTCCTAGTCAAAAGTTCTACTTTTTGTAATATTCCAATGAGGTTTCATTCTCTCTCTGTTGTAGCCAACTGAGCTGTGTTGTGTCGTCCGGAGGTAACCCGTCAACACGCGTAAGGAAGAAGCCAAAGTCGAGCACAGGAACAGGTATTTTTTCGCCGCGAAGTAAGGCGGTTTATATACATCGGAAAAATGGCATGAATTGGCTGAGACTCTCTCTTCAACCGAATAACCAATAGGAACCAACAGTTATGCACGATCGAGCAGAAAAATAACGAAATGCAACGACCAGTAGGAGTCACACGTGAGAGCGGAACGAGGATAAATCAATAGGGACTCAGCACGATGCAATCTGGTGGCTGAACGTGTGGTGACGACAAATATAAGCAGAATGTGAGAATTGACCAGAAACGATCAGTCCGTAGTTGAGACGAAATTTTTAAACACTTAACAGTTCCGTTCTGGTAAAATTTCCC